CTGTCTGATAATTGTTTACAGTGTCTCCTATCCTCTTTTATTTTTATGTATTTTCTTGTTTTGTTACTCTCTCCAAACTCAAGTTGGTTAGTTTCTATCCTCCTTGAGTTTGCGGGGGGCTGTTAAAATTTACCATCACCTACCACCACCTACTCCTCATCTACTACACTCACCCTCTCCTATATAATGAGCCACTCACCATTTGTAATATATACGACAACAAATATCAATCAATAATACAATTCTCTATTTCTCTTTATACATTAAATTTCTACATTTTAGATATGCCTATTTGTCTCCAATTGGCTTAAATTTTCCATCTACTTTAATATTGTTCTTCTTAGTGTCACTTGCATTAGAGATTGAGCAGAATTGAGCGTATTCACCTGGCTGACCAATTTTTGCAATGCTCCCCTAGAATCATTTTCGTTTTCGTTTTCTTTTTATTTCTTATTTCTTATTTCTTTTTTATTTTTTTATTTTTATTTTTTATTTATTTTTAATTTTTTTTAATGTTCTTGAAAATAGAAGAAATGGAAACTGACACAGAACTTGTATCGCAAACTGTTTTTGAAAATGGTTTTCTGTAAAATTTTCTGAAAACACCATTTTTAGGAAACACTTTTAAGTTGTTTTGAAAGTGGGTTTCACACAAAAATGAAACTGATATGATAACGATGGATGTTTTTCAGACTTTTAATTGTTTTTGTTTCCTAAATCATGAAGAATGAAAACATAAAAAATGAAAATGATACCAAACAGGTCCTTAATCTTTTTGGCATGTGCTAGGTTACATTTCATCTTTTCTTATTTTTTGAGAGCTATATGTGTGATTTCTTGCAACCAAAATTTTTGAAAGGCATCGTTGAGGCTTGCTTCAAGGTGAGGCTAGAGAAAAATGCATGGAGGATTGATTTTTAGGTGACTGTTTTCAAAAGTTTGTGTATCATAGTCTAAGGTGTGCACCTTGTACACTTTTTGTGCTATAAGGAGTACGCATATGGAGAGCTTGTTTTGGGCTGTTGTTAAACTTGGTCTAATACATCATTTACACATGAAAAAGAATAACCTCTTTTGTAACTATATTCTATGAGAAAAAATCAACTAAACAACAAACCAAGAAAAACACAAAGCTAAGACTAAAGAGAGAAAATTGATAATTGAAGCTAAGAATGTCAATTTCACCTTTGATGAGAGCAAGCTTCCTTCTGTATAATGAAATGTTTGATGCTTTAAGGAGAAAAGTATGTACACTTTTTTTGTTTAATTTTTAATATTTTTTTACTATTTTTAAAATATTTATTTATTTACTAAATATAAAAATTCAAAATTCAAAATGCTTATGCCTCAACACGTTGAGGCTTACGCATCGTCTCATGAGTGATAAATTGTCTCATTTTACGCATTTGCCTTCAAAAACTTTGCTTGCAATGAATGTGGTTTTTCACAAACAATATAATAGTGAAAATGCTATTCTCACATGGATTATTTGTTCTCCCATGCAACTCAACTCAAATGCATTGTTCCTGAGAATGTTTTGCAGGAGGACAATAGGTGCTGTGCAGGATTTGGTAGTATCAGAGGTGTATGGGAAAAAACTTCTTTTTGTGCTTCATTTTGATGGGACCTTACGAGTTTGGGACTTTCTAAGTCGTAGCAGAATTTTCAGTAATACAATGAGTATTCCAACGTTGACAGGCAATTCTTATCACCTTTATCTGATTGCTATCTTCTTTTCAATTTGTATGTTGATTTTCATATCAACAATGATAAAGACCACTAATTTTGGAGCTCTAAAAAGACCACTAATGACATGGCACTCAATAAAAAAAGAAAAAAAATACAACACCAAGGCCAAAACATCAAATCATTCATGGTGGGGCCTACTATCACATCATTAGTGATAGCACTAATTAGTGCTCTCACTCATTTTCCTTTTCATATTGTGTAATTTTTTTAACATGAAGGATTTATCATCTAGTATGCAAAATCCTAAATGTTATGTGCATGTTTTAGTGATCTGTTTTTTTTAGACCACTAATTTTGGAGCTCTAAAAAGACCACTAATGACATGGCACTCAATAAAAAAAGAAAAAAAATACAACACCAAGGCCAAAACATCAAATCATTCATGGTGGGGCCTACTACCACATCATTAGTGATAGCACTAATTAGTGCTCTCACTCATTTTCCTTTTCATATTGTGTAATTTTTTTAACATGAAGGATTTATCATCTGGTATGCAAAATCCTAAATGTTATGTGCATGTTTTAGTGATCTGTTTTTTTTTATTAGTCTGTTCTTCTTGTGACATAATTGTATGCTAAATTTGAGCTTCCTTTTTACATTATTAAACATTTTAAATATTTTTTTTGATATGTATTTTAAAATTTATCATACTCAGCTGATGAATAATATTAATAATGTAACAGTGGAAGTTACTTAGGTGAAGGTAGCGGCAATAATCGACGAGGTTCCTCTTCCTCCTCCTCTTTCATACACTTTCCCCACACACACACACACACACACACACACCCAAAAAAATAAAAAAATTGTCATAGTTAATTTTCTTTGCATATGTTGAACTGGGTAGTCAATATTTATTTATTTTCTGTTTGATTACTCATTCTATTTAATCTCTCTTTTTTTTTAATAAATTTTTGGACTTCTGTTTTTGCAATGTGCTTGTCTTGGTGACGTTTTATTTGATCTTTTTGGTTGCAGGTGCTACTTTTGTAAGGTTATGGGTTGGTGAAGCTAACAATGATACAAGTGCTATTCCTTTGGCAATCCTATATAAACGTTCTCCAGTATGTATTGCCAAAACAAATAATGGATATTTAAATACCCTTTTGATGTGAAAATGATCCCCTAATATTTTGCGCACTGCCAGTCCATTTGTTTGGCCTCTCTTCTTCCATCCTTCAATGATGGTGCAACATCAGTTTTGAAGGTTTTTAGTGAGTTTTTTGTACATGGCATTGTTAACGCTTGTTCCAATGCCATTTTGATGTACAACGGAGTTTTATTTGTTTCATTCCAAAGAAGGAGAATTTATTAAAAATTAGTGATTTTCTACCCATTAGTTTAGTTACATCATTGTATAAAGTTTTGGCTGAAGTTGTCTTTAAGGTTTTAAGAGATACCATTTCTTTGTCTCATGGGCATTTGTTGAGGGGCGTCAAATTGTGGATTGGTAGCAAATGATGATACGAAGATTATAGAGGGTCGGTCTATCAGGGAAATATTTATTTGTAAGGCTGATTTTGAAAATGCATATGATCATGTGGATTGGGATTTTTTCAAGCTAAAAGTATTTTTGAAAGAGATGGAGGAAATGTATTAGTGGATGCTTGTCTTCTTGTAATTTATTCAGTTATAGTAAATGGTGAAGTGAGTGATACATTTAAGGAATCTAGGGGGCTTAGTTAGGGTGACCAATTGTCTCCCTTTTTGTTTACTCTAGTGGTTGATGTTTTGGATAGGTTGGTTAATAGGGTTAAAGAGATAAGTTTGGTGCAAGGTTTTTACATTGGGAGAGGATTTATGTTTCGAATTTACAATTTGTTGAGGATGTTATTTTTAGCCTCTATTAAAGAGATTAAAGTGGTGAATTTTTATTTTTATTTTTTATATCCTTGGAATCTTTGAAGTGTTGTCAGCACTTAAGGTGAATATGGATAAGGGCTCTTTAGATGGTATTAATATTCCAAATGATAGGTTACACAGGGGGGTGGGTCAACTCAGGCACGCCATTAAATCTTTTCCAATTAAATACTTGGGCTCCCTTTGAGAGATAGTCCTAAGCTACGTTACATGGACTCGGGTATGAGTGTTGGGTGCATGTGTATATCTAAAGGTCAAACCCATCAAACTTCAAATTTAAGGGTACACAGACTCAAGAAAAAAGCGTCGTATTTTTATATTTTTTTAATCTATTATGTGAGATAAAATGGTGTTGTGTGTAGCAATTAGTGTAAAAAGGCATTTCATGTATTTTATAGCAATTATATGACAATATATATAATGATAGTGTTCAATGCAAATAGTATCGAATGAAAGTATTGGACACATCCACATCTTGTCCAAGTGTTGGGTGTCTGACACAGGTATTTGATTTATTTTCAAGAATTCATGTAACATAGGTCCTAAGTTTGAAAATTTTTGGATTCCAATGATTGACAGGATTAGTAAAAGGCTGGGAGGTTAGAAGAGGACAATGTTATCTAGGGGGAGGCTTAGTTTAGTTAATTTGTATTGTCTAGTGTGCCAAGCCAATTCACCATATTTCTTTCTTTGTTTAGAATTTGGTTGGGGGTGGTGAATAAGATTGAATAAATGGTGAGGGACTTTTTGTGGGAGGGAAGTGCTGAAAAGAGGAGAGATCATTTGTTCAGTTTGGGGGTGCTTTCACTTCTAAGGAATAAAGGAGGTCCTGGGTTAAGGAATATTGTTGCTGAAAATACAATTTTTCTTGGTAAATGGTTGTGTGAACGTTTCCTTTTGAGCGTGGGTTTTGTGGCATGTTATTAGAAGCAAATATGTGGTTCAGGAAAATGGATGGGATTCTTGACAGGTTGTTAGGAAAATTCTCCATCTTCTTGGAAATCCATTTCTCATTGTCTTTCTTGTTTTTCTAGAGATATTCATTTTGTTTTGGGAATGGGATAATTTTTTTTTGGGAATATGTTTACAAAGGAGAGGCTTCTTTTGCTCATTTTTTTTCTTTATTTTTTTGCATCATTATCTCGGTCTCATGGCACTTCCATTGCCTCTATGATTTCATCCTATACTCATCTAGTTTTGGAATTTCAATTTTTCCAAAGATCTTAATGATCGAGAGGCAATTGATTTAGTTTCTTTCCTATTCATTTCTTATGATATTTTTGAGACGAGAAGGCAATGATAGGAGAGTAATCTATTCATTCTTTTGGGGTTTTTTTTCTTGCAAATTCTTTTTTGATTCTATTATTGATCTTAATGTTCCCATTCTTGACACCCATAAGTTAATTTGGGCTGCAAATGTGCCCTTCAAAGTCAATTTTTTTTGTTTGATTTATGGTTTATAAGAAACTTACTAATGACATGGTTCAAAAAGGTGAGGAGCTAAAAACACATGGACACTTCTATAGAGGAACCATGTCATGTCCGACACTCGTGGCGGACACCAACACTTTTTGGACTAGGACTGTGCAAAATACCGCCCAATTCGTTAAAATCGCACCGATCTACACTGTTCTATCCTCTAACCGCAGATTAAACTTTAAAATTTATAATCCGCCTTCGAAATCGTTCCGCTCCGCTATAGTTGATATATATATATATTAATCTCTAATGAAATATCAAAATAAAAATTTAATATGTGAAATTTGTTACAAATTAGTAGTTATATATATGAAATATACCAAACTAAATCAAACCAAGCCTTAAGTCCCATCAATTGGGGTTGGCTACATGAATCCTTCTGCTCCACGTAGTCCTATCAAAGGCCATTTCGTTAATCAAATTAAGTAGATCCATATCTCGATTTACAACGCTAGCCAACGTTAATCTAGGCCTACCTCGTCCCCCAACACTACCATCTACCGTTACAGTATCTCATTTCTTCACTACTGTCTTTGTTAGTCTCCGTTGAATGTGACTAAACCATCTCAATTGATTCTCTCTCAATTTATCTTCTATTGGTGCTGCTCTTACCCATTCCCGAATATACTCATTCCTGATTCTGTCTTATCTAGTCTTGCCACACATCGATCTTAGCATCCTCATCTCAGCCACACTCTTTTTATTTACATGTTGTTTTTTGGTTACCCAACACTCCGTCCCATACAACTTCGTTGGTCTAATAGCTATTCTATAGAACTTACCTTTTAGTCTAGTGGGTATTTATTTATCACACAGTATCGCAGACGCACTTCTCCACTTACACCATTCCACCTTAATCCTATGGTCCACATCTGCATCAATCTCCCACGCTGTTGTGATAATCGACCCTAAATAATGAAAATGTTCACTCTTAGGCAGTTTTTGGTTCTCAATCTGCACTTCTCCTCTGTTTTCATTGTTATTGTTACTAAATTTACATTTCATGTACTTTGTCTTAGTCCTGCTTATCCGGAATCCTTTAGATTCAAGAGTTTTTCTCAAAATTTCTAATTTTGTGTTTACTCCTTCTCTAGTCTCATCCACTAGTACAATATTGTCTGCAAAAAGCATATACCATGGCACGTCATCCTGAATATTTCTTGTTAACTCATCCATAACTAAAGCAAAAAGATAAGGACTTAAGGTAGATCCTTAATGTAACCCTACAGTGATAGAAAATTCATTTGTCTCTCCAGCAGGCGATCTAATAGCGATCTAATAGTGGTCACCACCCTTTCATACATGTCCCTAATCACATCAATGTAACTTTTTGTCACCCTTTTCTTCTCTAACACCCACCATATTATATCTCGGTGCACTCTATCATATGCTTTCTCAAGGTCGATAAACACAATATGAATGTTTCTTTTATTTTCTCTATACTTTTCTATTATTCTCCTCAAAAGATAAATCGCTTCCATTGTTGACCTGCCAGGTATAAACTCAAATTGATTTTCTGACACCTCTGTTATATCTCGCAATCGGCGTTCCATCACCCCCTCCCACACTTTCATTATATGACACATTAACTTGATTCCTTTATAGTTGTTGCAATTCTGGACATCTCCTTTATTCTTATAGATTGACACTAAAATATTCTTCCTTCATTCATCTGGCATGTTCCTAGTCAACAAAATTTTGCTAAACAACCTAATCAACCAAGCAATTCCCTTTTTACCCAAACACTTCTAAACTTCAATAGGGATATTATTGGGTCCTAAAGCCTTATTTGATTTCATCTTTTTAAGTGCAATCTCCACTTCAAAGTTTCTAATCCTACGATAGAACCTATAGTCTTGGTTTATTGTATTACTGGCTATTTTTTCCCCTATTGCCGTATCTCCATGTTCCTCATTTGATAGTTTCTCAAAATAGTTCTTCCATCTTTCTTTAATCTCTTCATCCTTCACCAATACCTTAGAATTCACACTCTTGATGCACTTAACTTGATTAAAATCTCTTGTTTTCCTCTCCCGTATCTTAGCAAGTTTGTATGTCCTCTTCTTTCCCTCCTTACTATCTAGTTTAGTATATAGTTCATCATAAGCTTTCAACTTAGCCTCTCTCGCTATTTTTTTGACCTCCTTATTAGCCAGTTTATATCTCTTAAGGTTTTCCTCAGTTCTATCCTTCTGCCACTTTTTAAAGTACTCTTTTTTTACCTTAACAACCGCTTAAACCTCTGTCCTCCACCACCACCAAGTTTCCCTAGAGCTGGGTCTTATCCCTTTTGACTCTTTAAGCACTTCCCTTGAGATTCTCCTCATACAATAGGCCATCGAGTTCCACATAGTGTTAGCATCATCTTCCAAATCCCAAATACCTTCTTTATCCATTCTGTTCTTAAATATTTATAGTTTATCCCCTTTTAGGTCCCACCATCTCGTCCTACGGCGCCCGCCATCCTTCCTAACTTGGTATTGCCCTCTAAAACATAAATCTAATACCAAAATCCTATGTTGAGAGGCCATGCTCTCTCCAGGAATCACCTTACAATCATTGTATTTTAGGCGGTCCACTTTTCTCATTAAGAAGTAATCTATTTGGTTCTTAACTGACCAACTCTTAAAAGTTATCAAATGCTCCCCACTCTTCTTATATAGATGAGGAATATTGTGTACATTAGTGTTATATATTATGAAAATACTTGATAATTGGTTGAGAATATTTTTCGATCCGCCAATCCACCCCAAACTGCCCAAATCGCGATTTGGTTATTTGCCAATCCACCAATCCACCAATCTGCCATTTGGTTTGTAATTTTACTCTCAAACTGTCCGAACTGCACCATGCACACCCCTATTTTGGACACTTCTAAATGCGTGTCCGACATTTTTTCAACGTGTATTAATTTAAAAATCAAATTTTTAATATTGGACACTTTATCGACATTTCACTAACACTTCGGCAACACTTCTTGAACACTCCGAACGAACACGTCCTATGTGATAATGTGATGAATATTTTGTCGTAATAACAATGTTTTGCATTCTTCTATGTAGTACTTTAAGTATGTTTTGAAACGTTAACAAACGAGTGTATTGTAATGTTCTATAAGAATGTAATTGTTACTTGAAGATATCTTAATGTTTAAACAACAAAATATACAACTTTTTTATGTAATTGGTGTTATTTTACATATTTTTCATTGTCTTTGAATAAATTATTCATATATATGACATATAATAAATTAAAAAAATATAAAATTTTAATGTATCCTAAGCTTGTCGTGTCTTGCATTTCTTGAAAATCGATATGTCGGCATGTTAGTGTCGTGTCACATGTTCGTGTTTGTGCTACTTGGAGGGAGAGGATTGACCATCTATTTTTGCATTATCCGCCGGGCACAGGGTGGTGTTTTTTTTTTTTTTTTGGGGGGTTTTTTTTTTTTTGAATTTCCAACTCATTAGAGTTGTTGCTTTAGTTGGTAGGCATTGATTGGGTGATTACATCTTCCATTGATTTCATCATTGACTTAAGTGGTCTTGGTTCAAATGAAAAGTCACAGGCCCTTTGGAGTTGTGTGATCTGTGCAGATTATGGCTAGAAAGAAACTTCATTTTCGGTGTTGGTTGTGGCACCTTTTAAAGGAATTCCTATGCCAGATGTAATTGTGTTTTATTTTTTCTTTTTCTCCTCTTAGAGGATGTATTTTCCTCTGCTGGAAATTTGTGTTGTGATTACATCTTCCATTGATTTCATCATTGACTTAAGTGGTCTTGGTTCAAATGAAAAGTCACAGGCCCTTTGGAGTTGTGTGATCTGTGCAGATTATGGCTAGAAAGAAACTTCATTTTCGGTGTTGGTTGTGGCACCTTTTAAAGGAATTCCTATGCCAGTTGTAATTGTGTTTTATTTTTTCTTTTTCTCCTCTTAGAGGATGTATTTTCCTCTTTTTTTTTATTCTTGTACTTCTATTTTCTCTCTCACTGGTATCTCTTTTTTTGTTGCTGATTAAAAAACATAGAAGACATACATGCTGCATTAGATTTCTTTTTATGTTTCTTTTATTTGAGCAAAGAGTTAACTTTTTATTAAAGTGGCACTATATTTACTACATGCAATATACAAAATTTATTGATAGATAGCTAATGGAAAAGTATCTTTCATAGGCAAAGCACGCTCTTCTATTCCCAAGTCTGGCTTGGCTTGTCTTGTCTTGTCTTGTCTGCTTGAGTTGAATCAGTCCCAGCATGGACTAGAAGTTCAGATTAGAGTCGGGCTTAGGTCCAACCCAACATAAATAATTATTGGATTTGGCCAACCAAAAGTTTGTGTTGGGTTGGTTGGTTTGGGCAAGCCCATCCCAACATGCAGAATAGGGATATATTTTCCAGTTGTTCAGTTTCTAGACGTGACTCCAAATGTGTTCAGCAGCAATTATGTGTATAATGCTGTAGTCCAATGTTATGGGTTATTATATATCTTCATCTTTTATATTGAAGAGTTGCTGTTTATGTTATTGCTTACCCAATTAGATATCTTAGCTGGTTTCTCTACTTGTCAAGCTAAAGTGTGTTAGTTTGATGCAGTACCTTGTCAGAATATTCATTTGACTTCAGAATGTTTTTACACTGCTACTGAACAATTTTTTGGCTCAATTGTGAAGGGAGTTAGCATGGAGATGATCTATGTTTATAGCCTTCATTATAGTGTGGGGGACAGGATCATTTTATTGTTGGACTCTTCAGTGCAACACATCCCATTGGAGGAGGTAATCTAATCTTTCATCACTCTTCCGGTTTATTTTCTTTATTCTTTGACAAGAATCAACTTCTATTCATTGTATTGAATGTCTGTGCTTTGATTCTGTTAGGGTGCACTCATTGATGTCAAAATTACTTCAAACAAAATATGGATACTCAAAGAAGATGGACTAATAATGCTGGGTTTGTTTAATACAACTGATAATGGGTAAGTATTCCAGGAATGTTACTCATTGACCAATGATATTTAAGAGTGATGCTTTGGCTTTACCTTAAATTTCATTATGTTAACTGTAAAAGTTACATTAATTTTTTAGGCATACTATAGCACTTTTAGGTCAGTGGGATGTATCCATTTTATTCCTGGCTTGGATTTTTGAACTATGAACTTGGTGCTCTGATACTTTACCTGACTGTCAGAACTGCGGCTTTTTTCTTCCCCCCTTTCAACTTGTAAAAAGGGTTTATATTCACTACCAAAAAGAATTAGATGGATAATTTTTGCTTTGTAACGTTTTCTTTTCTTCTCCATAACTGTTCTTGGGTCGTTGACTGGAAAGGGTAGTTCACTTGAGTTGTTGCTTGCTGTGATTTTGCAGGTATCAATTCATATGTGTTTCTTCTTGATAATGATTTGTATCCCAGTAATTTCTACTGTTGATTGTAAATGTCAATTAAGTTGACAGTCGCACATATATCTTCATTTGTGTTTTAATTGATCTAATGAACTCTATTTAATGTTTATGCTTAATTGATCCTGCAATTTTGATGTTAGGGGGGTAGCACAATGCTATTCTTTGCAGGAAGCAGTTGTTGCTGATCAACTATTTCAAAGTTCTGAACATTCTTCAGATGATCTTCTTTGGCTTGCTCAATCAATTTTTTCATCTTTGAAGGTACTGGGAACATTTTTACCATGTCATCTTCTATACATTTATGTCTCTTCACTTTACATGATACTTCTTTCTACAATGTTTTAGTTAGTCCACTTAATAACTTGGGAAATTCAACATTTTCTTCACCTATTAGCCTGTTGGTGTCGGTGTCTGATCTTTAATCCACTCTTCTTTTTGAGCTTTTTGTCATGATTTTCTTATCTTAATTTAATAAGAAACGAAATATTATGCAAAATTCTCACTTGACTATGTTCTAGAATGCGAGGAATGATATAAATGTATCTAGAACCTGTTCCTTAAAATTTATAAGGAGTGGTGTAAGAGAGTTGAGTATCTGATTGCGCAGAACTGAACTGTAATTGTGTATAATTACTATGGAACTAAACAGAATTCTCGCTTTGAGTTTGGAGGGATTCAGTGGTAAATCCAGACTAAAGTGTAGACTTTCTCTGGGGACGTCATTGTTAGTTCAGAGAATTAGCCAGAAATTTCTGCTGAGAGGATTAGACTGCAATATGATGCCCATAATTTAGAGGGTTGTCATCCTTCTTGTGTATCATTTTTCATTTATATGATTTTCTGCTTTCTTATAATGAAGGAGGTTAAAAAGAGATTACCATCTTATATATTTGCATCAATATACTGAAACCGAAAGATGTCTATTTGATTTTACACTGTTCTCTGTCTCTCTGTTTTTTAACTATTGGTGGAAAGAATGTCACTTCAGGATTGCAGTGATGGATGTCAACGCATTGGTTTTTAAGTTATATTGTTCATTTTACGTCATGACATCCTCCTTAGAATGTGCTCATTTGACTTAGCACTGCTTACCATCGTACTATTGAAAATCAACTGTGACTGTAACCTATTGTCGTTAATATGTAATTGGATATACATGGCCATGACACGTTACTTTCTTAGAAGTGCCATGCTTCTTAGCTTATAGATAAATTTCACTTAATATTTTTGTTGTACTTGTAGTCTTGACTTATATTTGTTGTCATTAACCTACTAAAAAAAAGTATTTGTAGTAATTAAACTGACAGAACTCTATAAAGCAAAATGAAGCTCACACAAACAACTGTGAATCCGATAATCAAATCTATTTCTTACACTAATTTATCTTCATGAGTTTTAAAAAAAAAAAAAAAAAAATGTATATTCCTACTTTCAAGCTAGTTGTGTGACTACTTAAAAAAATCATAGTTTTAGAATTAAATCCCATTACTTGACATTTGTTAGACCTGTTAGCATATTATATTAGCCGAAAGTTTCACTAAGGTCTGTCTGTAATCATTTTGTGCCCTCAGGGATTATCTTGTAATTGACTTTCTTGTAAACCCTAGTCTTCATTTATAAATAGGGGGTGATATTCTATCATACCTCTAAGCTGGTTACTCAAGCTTCATGGTATCAGAGCAGAACCTCTAGGGTTTCGGCTCACCCTCGTTGGTAGACCTTTACACCAAAGACACTCTAGGGTTGGAAGCTTACCTGGGTGGATCATCACACAGCCGTCAGCTCGTCTTCCTCGCCTTCCTCTGTCGTCTCCCTCACCTCGTCAGCTCGTCTTCCTCACCTCGTCGATCTCCTCAGCTCGTCTTCCTCGCCTTCCTCTGTCGTCTCCCTCACCTCGTCAGCTCGTCTTCCTCACCTCGTCGATCTCCTCACCTTCCTCTGTCGCTCGTCGTCATCGTCCTCAGCCTCTGTCTCACTGTGGTATGATCTCAGCCTTGGTATATATAAATATATATATATATATATCCTGATATCCTGATATTTATATAAATATAGCCTGTTATATATATTTATATATAAATATATGTATACATAAAAAAATCAATTTAAAAAAAAAAAAAAAAAAAAAAAAAAAAAAAAAAAAAAAAAAAAAATGGTTTCTTAATTTTGTTATGTTCTTTATAGTGTCATTGTGGCCTGTTATTCACTACCACCGTTCCGGGTTTGTGATTTTCCACTAGTTTTGTTGGCGGGTTTGGTAGTTTGTATCCATGACGATTCCACCAGTGTGTCCCCTTCTTCTAAACACCAAAGAGTGAGAGTCCCGTTCTACCTATACCATGACTGAGAACCCCAACCGCTAGTCATGAAAATCACCACTCTCTATTTAATGGTCAGAACTACCTAGCATGGTCCTCAAAGTTTGACTATGTTTTTGAAAAGCAGAGGAAGATGGGGTATGTTGATGGCAGGATACAGGCCCCTAGTACTACTGACTCAGGTTTATGACCAAATGGGAGATTACCAATTCTTTGATTATGAGTTTGGCTTATCCATTCGATGGTTCCAGAACTTGGTGAGGGCTACTTGACTATGGAGACTGCCAGGACGTTGGGAGGTCTGTGGCTGTTACCCTATTCCCGCAAGGAAATTTTTCACAAGCATTGAGTTGCGCGATCTATTGAGAGCTCACTTCAGGGGGAGCAGACTGTTCTTCAGTACTTCACTTTCCTCACCAAAGGCTGGAAACCCCTTGACCACCTGGAAGACTATAAGCCCGTTGCCTCTGATGATTCTCGTTCGGGTACAAGAAGTTCATCGCATCGGGAACGGGTCTTTTAAATTTTTGGCCGTGGCCTAAATGTGGAGTATGATCCAGTTAGGGGTCGAGTTCTGAGTATGGACAGCTCTTCCTTCACTTCAGGAGGCATTTGCCTATGTTACAAAAATGAGGAGAGTCGTCGGTCTGGCTATGATACTCCCTGTCTCTACTGACCGTTTCGCATTACTGTCTACTCCTCGAGAAGGCCTCAGCCCTGCCTCCCTGTGCTGCTGCTAAGGAGTCTGTATTCTGTGATTATTGCAAAGAAGCCGCGGCATACTCGTGAGAAGCGTGTTGGAAGCTTCATGGGACTACCGATCCGGTGGGTCGAGGTGATCGGTCCTGGTTCTCGAGGAGGTCGGTCCGGCCAATCTCGGGACGTGGTTCCTATTCCAGGCTCATCAGTTCTTACAGTGCCCGTTGATACCCCTTGATTCTAATTCTACTTCTGTTACCCCAAGCTTTCTGATATGAGCTGGAGGATGCTTTGGCCGCCAATTGTTGGATCCGCCGATCTTCTACTGCTCTCAGTACCCTTCCTCGCTTTTTGCCCCGCTCAGGTAACTTAGCATCTTCTCCTTGTGCTTTCCTGTGTCATACATCTTTGCCTTGGATTATTGATTCTGGTGCCTCAGATCATATGTCTTGGCTCCTCTGATCTTTTCTCTGTCTATAAGCCCTCTTCGGTCAGGACAAAGTTAGGATTGCCGATGGTACTGTTTCTTCCATTTCTGGAAAAGGTTTAGTCCAAGTCACTCCTACCATACATACTATCTTCTGTTCTTCATGTTCCCAAGTTTTCTGTTAATCTGTTATCCTTTAAGTCGTCTTACCTAAGGATTTGAAAATTGTAGTGGTGACGTTTTTTCTGATCATGGTTTTTTAGGACCTTGTCACGGGGAGGAGATTGGCAGTGGTAGTGCAAAAATGGTCTCTACCTTCCTAGATCAACCGGACAACTTGCTTTCTTCCACCGACGTCTTCTAACTACTTCCGCGATTTATGGCTGTGGCATCTGGCGTCTTGGGCATCCTCATATTTCATTTACTTAAGCATTTATTTCCTTCTCGTTTCGCAAATCAATCATGTGTCTGCTTTCTTTGTGAGTCTTTGTCAACTTGAGACAAACAACATAGAAGCTTCTTTTGCTCCAGTTTGAATAAAAGTTTCGTTCCTTTTCCATTAATATATTCTGATGTTTGGGTCTCTTTGTGTTCTGTCTGTGAAAGGTCATCGCTGGTTTGTTACATTTATTGATGATTTTTTCTCGTGCTACTTGGTGTATCTCTCATGAAAGATAAGAGTGAGGTTTTCTCTCTGTGTTTCGCACTTTTCATAGATGATTTGTACTCAGTTTGGGGCCCACTATCAAAATTTTTCGTTCTGATAATGGCGGGGGAATACATAGATTCTGGGTTAGGACAATATTTCTTACTCTCAATGGATTATCATCAGACTCTTGCACAACATACCCCTCAACAAAATGGGGTGCCGAACGCAAAAATCGGCATCTTTCTTGACATGGCTCGGTGCATGTGTTTTTTTATGAATGTGCCTAGCCCTATTGGGGTCGACGCTGTTTCTCACGCTGCCACTTATTAATCGTCTTCCTACCAGGTCTTGGACAACAGCTCGCTTCAGCGTCCTCCTCGTTCTCTCGTCCTTGTTTTCTTTATTCCTCCCAAAATATTTGGTTGTTCTGTTTTGTCCATAATCACTCTCCCCTCGTGGTAAGTTGGACGCCTCCGCTCCCTCAAATGTGTTTTCCTTGGTTATCTCCTACTCAAAAGGAGTATAAATGTTACCACCTTCTTCTCGTAGTGGTTTGTGTCCCATGGATGTAACTTTCTTTGATGTCCATCCTATTTCTTGTCCTCTCCGGTGTCACCGTCCTCTATTCCGGGGGAGCCTGTGTGAATGTGAGTCCTGTTGCCTCCTATGGTGGAACCAAGTTCCTGTGCTCCTATGGTGGAACCAGTTGTTTTCTTGCACCACCTGCTACTGCTGTGCTTCCTATGGTGGAACCAGTTTGTTCTTGCACCCTCCTCTTCTACTTGGGACTATCGAAACCACTGTCACCAAGAAATAAGATCGGGCTATGTTTTAAGTCCGGGACATAGATAGAAAACCAGTTAAACTGGATACACGGGATCATTTCTGCTAGCTCCACTGCCACATCCTGCTTCTGAATGAGAGTCTGGTGGGTAAGCTTTGAATCTCTTGAGTCCAATTGATCTTGATGTTCCTATTACCAAGGAGGAAGGGTGTGAGAATCTTGTACTCAAAACATCCTAATCTCACAGTTTGTATCATACTCTCATTTGTCAATCTCATATAGAGCATTTGTGTCCAATATTTCCTCTGTTAGCTTCCTAACCATTTTCCAGGATGCTCTTCTTACATCTGAGGGAAACTAGCCATGATTGAGGGAAATGAAAGC